CTTCCTTGCTCAATTTTTCCTTATGTTGTATAAACATCTAAAATAATTAGTTTACAATTATATTAATACGTAAAAATTATTTTGGTATACAAATAAAAAATTATGTATGTACAAATACAAAATAACGAAAAATACAACAAAAGGTTTTATTATTATTCACTCATTTTTTTATTTATCTATCTTTTCTTTTTTTATTATTATTAAAAATAAACATGCCAATTTTACTATACTTAAAGCTATATGAATTATATGAATAGAATATTAACTCTAATCTTGTATTAGTATAATGTTTTGATTTTTTGTAATTTTATATTATAATAAATTTTTTATTTATTCATATTTTCTAAAATGATACACCATATAATTTTCTGTTTTAAATATAAAAATACTTGAATAATTTTTGAAAGTGATAACTCAACTATACTATCGACATTTATCTCTAGAAAATGATAGTTTTTTTAAAAAAATTTACATTTGACTGTTTTACATTCATTGAATATATATTAACAATACATATATATAGTGAGTGAGTATAAATATATAATTAGTTTTCTAGTAATGTATGATTTTTTATCCACTATTAATAGAAAAAATTAAAATCATTTATATACTTATTTCTATAATATAATATGTATTTATATGTATATTCTAAATTTTTATAAGGGAATATGTGATATTTAATTGTTTCTATAAACAAATTCTATTAATCATATGTATTTAAGATGGTTAATTGTTTGTTTGGTAATATAAATTAGATTAGGTAATTCTAGGATTAGTTTCCTTTTAAAAAAATTTAATTAAATAAATAAAAATTCAAATGCCAACAACCAATCAAATTAAGAGAATTAATTCTACATTGCACCTATGAATGACACGTAATCAAAATTCATTAAAGTGACTTCACTTTTAATATACTGGGGGATTTGTTTTTACAAAGTTTCCCTTTTTTGATCGTTTCCATATTTAATTTGGTCGTAATATTTCTCTTTTTTGAATCACTTAGTTGTGGACAAGGTCATAATATAACGTAGAAAAAAAACTTGCGATGACTCAATATATGAATCATAATGCAAAATAACTGACATGGAATTGAGTATGTGCTAATAGTCGATAATACCAACACTGCAATATAAAAATGATAGTTGTTATTTAAACAATATTTTTTTGACAAAGTTTCCCTTTTTGATCGTTTCCATGTTTAATTTGGTCATAATATTTCTCTGGTCCGAGTCACCTATTTGTGGACAAGGTCATAATATAACGTAGAAAAAAAACTTGCGATTAAATTCTAAAATATCCCCTTTAGTTACTTGGGTCAGATTTTTTTGTTAAAAAAAATAATTATGAAAACATCAATCTCTTACATTACTCATAAGTTTTATATTCCATCAAAATTCTTACTTTTATAAATGACAAGCATACTAATCAATATCAATAGTAGGCCTGGGCGTTCGGTACCCGTTGGCGTTCGGATCGGGTTTTTCGGATTTTCGGGTTTTCGGGTTTACGCTCATAGGTCCCATTCTAATATTTTACTAGTACGGGTCGGGTTCGGATAATAACACTTCAGGTTCGGTTCAAATTTGTATTGCAGCATAAAACCCGTAAAGCAACTATATATCATTCGGATTCAGGTTATTTTGGTTCGGTTCGGATATACCCGAAGTATAAAACAAAATTTCGAAACAAAAACATAAAGAAAAACACTGAAATTGAATATAAATTAATCACACATACATAAAATTGATAAAAAAATGCTAAATCAGTCATTACAACATACATCACTTGTAAACAATGTGCATTACCTTACATATATACTAAATTTATTATTTTAATGAACAAATTACAAAGTACTTATTTATAACTAATTATATATTTAAGGTATTTATTTATATTTTAATATTTATTGTATGTATCATATCAAAATAAACATTAAACTGAATATCTAAAATATTTATATATATATATATATATATATATATATATATTTAAAATATTTATATTAACTATTAATTTCGGATATTTTGGGTTACCCGTTCGGGTTCGGTTAAATAACACTTCGGATTCGGATTTTTTTATACCATCCTATAAGACCCGTTCGGGTATTTTTACATTTCGGGTCGGATAACAGGTCGGGTTTTTTGGTTCGGGTTTGGTTTGGATTTCGGGTTTCGGATTTTGAACTCAGGCCTAATCTATAGCCTACTCCATAGCATATTCGATTTTTTTATCCGTGCAGACCAATCCAAGCAAGTTTAGCTATATATATATATAATTATATACTAGCTAATAATTCGTGCCTTGCACAAAATATAATTATTAATTTCGTTATTTTTAAATAAATAAATATCAGATCTGGTAAATTTGTATATAAGTTCAGTTTTAAATTATTTTTTTAATCTCATAAAATATAAATAACATCTTAAATTGATATTTATTTTGGTAGGTTCGGTTAAAATGTTTGATATTTTGATTTTACCGGTGATAACCAAAAACAATTATTATTTGTTTCGTGTTATATAAATTTTAAATAGTCATGATGTCGAACCAATAATTTTATATTATAGTTTATAAACAGATAATAGTTCAAGAAAAAGAAAAAACATTTATTAAAACAATCATTTCATTACGATTTAGTCGATAATGAAAGAAGCATTAAGAAAAAGAATTTTTAGCTTTCAAGAAAATTAAATATTTCAGTTGTAGTGAATATTTAGTTATATAGATGCTCATGTCGATGTGCATATGTACATGTATTTAAACATATATAAAAGTGGTTGATAAATACGTAAAGATATTATTAATTAATATTACAGGATATTTTTGTTCAAAATAACACATGAAATAGAATATTCTCAAAATAAAATTCTAAAATACAATTAATTAAAGTAAAATAAAACTAAATATTAGTGATTTTTTTTCATATAAAGAAAATCAGATTATATTTCTAAACATAAAAATAATATATATATATATATATATATATAATTGGGATTGCTGCATTTTATTTCTTAGTGTATTGTGTTGTATCCTGGCCCAATCAATTTTTAACAGTAATCATTTATGGTAAAAAAGTATTTACAACTGGTTCTGCTAAAAAAAGAAATAGTATATAAATGTGGTTGATAAATATGTACAGATATTGTTAATTAATGTTAAAATACATTTTTGTTTAAAATAACACATAAAATATAATATGCTTAAAATATTCTTAAATTAAAAGTGAAATAGGTGTAGATATTAGTGAATGTTTTTTCATATAAAGAAAATTAGATTATATTCGTAAACAGTAAAATAAAAAATATATATATAATTAGGCTTGCTGTATTTTATTTTTAGTGTATTGTATTGTATCTTGGTCCAATCAGTTTTTAACGATAATCATTTATGGTAACAAATATTTTACGATTGGCCTTGCTAAAAAAGAGAAAAAGTCTAAAATTCTAAAACCTGTACATACATTTGTAATAACAAAAATAGTTATGTATTTGCAAAATTTGATCTTTTTACTTGATCCTTTCGAGTCCATCACCGGAAATTCTTTTTATCTTTTATATTACGTCATTCAATCATATTTCGCAAAATTTTATATGATATTAATACTGATAGAAATACTGAAGGATATTGTATAAGTGAGTTTGAAAGGTTTATGAAGTAGAATACATATCAATTAGATTCTTTTTTTTTGTCATCGAACAAAACAGATTCATGTAGACTGTGCAAACTAAACTGGTAGTTCTGCATCCATATGAACAACAAAGAACGATTGCTTTCTGGCTCTGCGTGTGAGACTATCCGCTTGTGAATTCTGCGTTCGTGGTACATATTAGTTAGATTCTTGTAATTTATTTTTTATGTAATTTTTTGTATAATTCCTAGAATTCTGTATGTGAGTTATGTATTGAAAAATATGTAAAATAAATAATGTGAAAACATTTATGTATAATTTGACTGAAATTTATTTTACACGTGACACGTTAGTTTATTCATTTTCAAATAATTGAGCAATTACCACTTATCACATATCTATTATAGTATAAACGCATATTTATTATAGTGTAAACATATTTATTATAATGTTTATTTTTTAACATATAAGGGATGTTCAGATCTGTCTCACTATTGGTTTGTGGATTATTGTTCACTTTGACAACCTAGTTTCATGTACAATACTAGGAATTGAGTATCGTCTAATACATGATAATATCTTTTATTACAATATAAAAATGATACTCGTTATTTGAAAATAGTATTTGTGTGTTTACAAATTTTCCCAGTTACCTTTGACTATTTCCCAATATTTCTCTTGTCTTAGTCATCTGGTTGTAGACAAGGTCATAATTTTATGACTAAGAATTTGAATAAAAGATTATACACTACACGGTGACTGAAAATAACAAAAATCTATATATATATATATATATATATAAATATTTATATATTATTATCATTATTAGGATTATACCACAATTATTTTACAGTTGTTTTATATATTACCCATTCAAATCCTAAATTCTGAAAATATCTTCTATAGTTACCGGTCTCTTCTTTTCTTGTTGCAATGCATTAACAGCTGTCAACGCATTTTAATTTAATGTCTTATATACGATTAAGGAAACAATATATTCTCTCACCATATGTTGACCATTCAAGAAGACATCGTAGAAAAAACCACATTCGTAAAAACCCTTAAGTACACACAACACTCCATTAATAAACCTTTCGAATTAAATTCTACATTATATTTTCCCTGACAAGTTATGTTTGTTCGTAAGAAAGAAAGTTTTGTTTGAGTTTATAGTTAATGAATTAGAGAAGAAATAACATTTGCAAAATCTCGTCACTTATTCTGATTTCGTCCAGTAAGGTAACAGTTTCTTTTGGATTTAATTCCTAATAATCTTCAGTATAATGAACTTTCTTGACAAAATAAAAACATAGTACTATTGATTCTTCTTGAATCTGAGAAACCTTTTGACTCAGATTCCGGAGTCTAAACAATGATCGGAGAGTCTACCAGCAAGAATCCAAGAATCAGCCACATGTCCATTTCCAACGGAGATATCTGCAGCGACTTCGGAAGCAGCCCCGTTTACACCGTCCAAGTCCCTCCAACGCCGGATAACAATCCGGGTCCGCTTCATATCGTTCTCCAAGACATGGACTCCAGTTCTTCTTACAAAGACGAAGACCTGGATCAAACCGAACTGAGAAACAGTAAAGAAGAGGATGCCTTGCTCTACAAGATATCTCAGCCCTTAACCCGTGTCGTCAAAATCTCTCCGATCATCATCGCTCTGTATCGGTATATTACCTCCTTTTCTATGTTTCTCTCTCTGTCTTTTGAGATATTTTTGCTGTCGTGTTGGTTACAAACACTTTGAGATGGGTCATAAAAAGCATGATGTTTCTTAAGATTTCCTGACAATGTTTTTTATCTGTCTTTTCAGGATTTTAATATTTGTCCGAATCGTAGCTCTCTGTCTGTTTCTCTTTTGGAGAGCCAGAAACCCAAATGAGAAAGCAATCTGGTTATGGGGTCTCTCTGTAATATGCGAAATTTGGTTTGCTTTCTCTTGGTTAATCGACCAAATCCCTAGGCTTTATCCGGTTAACCACGCAACCGATACCGAAGCCTTGAAGGCGAGATTCGAAACACAAAACCGGAATAACCCAACCGGGAAATCAGATCTTCCTGGAATCGATGTGTTTGTTTCAACTGCTGATGCAGAGAAGGAGCCTCCATTGGTTACAGCCAACACAATCCTTTCGATATTATCCGTTGATTATCCTGTTGAGAAGCTTTCTTGCTACCTCTCCGATGATGGGGGGTCGCTTCTAACTTTTGAAGCAATGGCTGAAGCAGCTAGCTTTGCGAAAATATGGGTACCTTTTTGCAGGAAACATAAGATCGAGCCGAGGAATCCGGAAAGTTACTTTGGTTTGAAGAAAGATCCTTACAAGGGTAAGGTGAGGCATGATTTTGTTAGAGAGCGAAGGTATGTGAAACGTGGTTACGAAGAGTTTAAGGTTCGGGTTAACGCCTTGTCTCATTCGATTAGAAGGAGATCAGATGCATTTAATAGCAAAGAAGAGATCAAAGCTTTGGAGAAATGGAAGAACTGGAAAGTGAAAGTTGAGGAGGACCAAGTCAAGGAACCAAGGCCTGCTATAGTAGCTCCTAAAGCTACTTGGATGAGTGACGGCACGCATTGGCCTGGCACTTGGACTGTTCCTTGTCAAAACCATTCGAGAGGTGACCATGCTAGTATTATACAGGTGAATAAAGACACACATGCTCTGGATCTCTAACTTGGTTTGTATTTTAACTTGGAGATATAATTATATATTTTTATTGGCAGGTGTTGCTTGATCCTCCTGAAGATGAACCGGTTGATGAGATAGGTGGGGAGGGGCGTGCGCTGGATTTTGAAGGAGTAGACATTCGTTTACCAATGTTTGTTTACGTTAGCCGAGAGAAACGGCCTGGTTATGAACATAACAAGAAGGCAGGAGCTATGAACGCTTTGGTCCGAGCCTCAGCCATAATGTCTAATGGACCGTTCATCTTGAACTTAGACTGTGACCACTACGTCTACAACTCCATAGCCTTTAGAGATGGGATCTGTTTCATGATGGACCAAGATGGCGACCGCGTTTGCTATGTTCAGTTTCCACAGAGGTTCGAAGGTATAGATCCCTCCGACCGCTATGCTAACAAAAACACTGTCTTCTTCGACATTAACCTGCGGGCTCTCGATGGGATTCAAGGTCCAATGTATGTCGGGACAGGATGTTTGTTCCGAAGAACTGCTCTTTACGGTTTCGACCCGCCTCTGGCTCCTGTGGAAACAGAACCGTCTGGTTGCTGCTGTTTCCCGCAGCAAAAGAAACGCAAACCTGCAACCGTAGCTTCTGAACCAGGGAATGACGTTGAGGGGTTGGATGTCAATCTGATTGGGAAGAAATTCGGTAGCTCGAATATGCTAGTGGAATCGGTAAAGGTTGCAGAGTTCCAAGGTAAGCCATTAGCCATAGAGGGACACTCGAGCATACGTGGACGTCC